GGGGGCGGGGCCGGGGCCGAGGGCGGGATCGCGAAGGCCGCGGCGGCAGCGCCCGCTCCCGGAGGCCGCCTGTGCGCACGCGCATTTCCATACAGACGGCGGGCGCACGCGTGACGCCCCACCACGCGTCCTGCGCATGCCGCCTCCACGCGCTACTGGCCCACCGCGCCCCGGCCCATGGGGGACGTGTGCTCACCGAGCCCCACGACGCGCCACAACTCGTAATGTGGAGAGGAGAAAAAATAAAGATTCTTATAATAAACGCAACGATATGGAATTCCCGACTGTGTCTTTGCTTGATGCACTCCGACACATCACGCAATACAGGGTATAATTCCAGTTTCCCACATTGAAATTGGTCTTCGCAAAGAGTAATACACCCAATCCAAAATGTGTAGCGTAGTGCATGACAAGTTGTCAAATGTGAGAACAGAGAGCATGTATTCATCCAACAAGGAATCCATTCCCGAAGTTTGGCCGTTGATTTCTGGCCTACCCGTAATGCGACAAAAACAGAAAGGTTCATAAGACCCGTCAGCTGTGAGATCTCTGATATTTGGCCAAAGAAGAAAGACACCTCGGCAGGAATTAATAGGAATGCGGGCCATACCGAAACCTTCCGCCTCTTAATTACTCCGGTCAAAAGGTATCTGACCTAGGAAAAAAATGCGAAAGTGTTTTTCTCAGCGGTTCTATACGTTTTTGAGGGTGCTGAATCCGAATTTGATGTTTGCCACCTCAAAAAAGTTCAGCTTCACAGAGAAAATTGAGGGGGGGGGGATTTGCTTGTATCTTTAAAACTATGCGTTTTTTCGAAACAATTGTTATTTACAAAATTAAAATAGATAGTTTTCTACAAGAAATTTTCCGAAAAAACGGTTTACGCCCTAGAGCGCGCTGAAAACGGTTACTTGTGGGCCTCTGGCCAAAGCGGGGGAATAGCTCTTTCCAGCCATCCTATATCGTGACGGCGCTCTAGTTTCACTTTATCATGCTTAAAAACAGCTATTGTGAACAAATAATTGGCATTGTTAAATTATTAACACTCCAATATGAACGGAATTAATAGGGTTGAAACAATAGGGTCGAATTATATTCAATTGCCAATGTTTATTGCCAGTGTTAATAAAATATGATTTTTGTTTTCTCAATTATGAATATTATTTACCTCTTTATTAGCCAGTCACTGGCGTGTTAACAAGATATCCATGTCAGTGATTTGCCGATAATTATGTAATTGTGTATGGAGAAAACAATAAATCGTATTATTTTAATACCTTTACCATCAAGTGTATAGATGTGGGCTACATTGAATGATGTGCATTGAGTCTGGCTCTACCAAATGTCACGTTTGCAATGGAGAAAGACACCTGATCTGAGCAAGAATGATATTTACTGAAAAGCGAAACTTCCAGTTCTTACACATAAAATATCTCCTGCTCTCTCTTTTCCCGGTCTCATCTCCTCCAGCTCTAATTCTAAAAATAGTTTTGTTACCAAGTCTATAGTATATGCGATCCATGCAAATTTACACTACTTCTGCAAATCTCCGACAGCGATATACTGAGTAATTCCCAAGAAAAAGGCGGCGATTCAGATTTTCGCGCGTGATACGCAGATCCTCGTAGCAAGTTTCGGAAATCTATAACTCGCATATTATTTCACGAGGTATTTCATGCACCGGCTCGCGACTGCACCTGAAATATTATCCTTCACCATGCACTAGAATGTGATTGATTCTTCAGCGACAACCCAGTCTTTCGCGCTGCGTGATGTTATATGTGACACATAACGCTGTTTCTACAATAAATATGGGCATCATGAAGGAATATTGAAATATTTTGCAGTACAAAAAAAATAAGATCCTTTGAAGTAATTTGTTTAAATACTTTCTAAGGCTGAACCTTGTTGCTGTTAGGTACTTCCTTGATGTGACAGTAGCGAAGTTAAAAGATGTCCTCACACACGTAAACTAATACAAGTCAATAATATTTAAACTGTGAAGAATAATTGGAAAAGGAAAGAATACTTAAGACTACTTTTCAATAGGCAGTATTCAAGTTACCTGTGAACATGAAAAGCTAAAATTACGAAAATACAATTCAAAATTAGTTTAAAACATTGAACAACTCGGCGACAAAATGTGTTTGTTGGCCTACGTAGTAAACAACGCAAAAATTAGAAATTTAACTCCAGTCTAATGCGCTCTGTACAATACTAAAAGGTCATATTTTGCCCACCTCCACATGTCTGAAAATATTTGACAATCAACGAATCTAGTAATCTTAACGGATCCGTACAACACAGTAAAGACAATAATTCTAAAATTTTAAATCGTGCAAAATAGTATCTATATTTCTGATTTCCAGTGCGCGACGAAACTAAAAGAAAAAGATGCTGACTCCAGCCATGTGAGAGGTGTCTATGGTTTTGTTACATATACTGGAATTCGGAGGTAATACAAAAAACATGAAATAATTACAATTTTGACTGAAAATTCAAATATTTGCTTGTGTTATTCCGCAAGTTATACTGCTCTTACCCACTACATTCGCAAACTCAGTGCGCCACTTACGATACATAACTTCGTGCGACAGCAAGGCTCCAAGGAAAAGGCCGCCCGCCATTTGTAATCGCTATTCGGGTGATGTAAGGAATAGCAACAATTATGATATTCATAAGTAATGAACTATTGTATTGTGTATCCGTGTATACTATACTTTGTTATTACGGTTTTCGTGAAGTCTGATGATGTCAACAGACGTTCTTGTCCACAAAGAACGCCCATCAAGCTTGAGTAGGATTTTTGACCCCTTTCGCAATCGAACACATATCCTTTGCTAATTACATGCGTTTTTGCACCCTTATTTTAGTCAGGATGAATTGCTTTTTGTATGCCTATTTAAGCAAAAATAAATGAATTTTTGTGTGGCTATTTTAGGCACAATATTTGTCTGGAAATATAATAATCTGTTAAGCCTTTGACTATCTCTTTTCTAATGACAACTGTCTTCCTTAGTGGGCATTGTGGTGTATATTTATATTACTGTATTCATAACAACCATGGGCAAAGCAACAAAATTATTTGAACAGAGTGAGATCGATAAAAATGAAATAAAAATATAAATTTCGAATACTTCGACATGAAGTTGAAATAACTTAAAAGAGGGAGAGCATACAATATGAGATATTTATGAATCAGTTTCTGAAATTCAAGGAAATTCTTGAATTAAGATGTACGAGTCCGACACGCTAAACCGCCACAGCGCTGACGCCGGCATGGTGAGAGGTGCAGTTCGAACACGGTCGTCTACTCCCGCCAGCGTATGGGGGCCAGCGTGTCAGCGGGCGCGCGCCTGACGAAACGCCCGGCGGGGCGGGGCGGGCGGGGCGGGCGGGGCGGGGCGGGGGGCGGGCGGGGCGGGGCGGGGCGCGGGCGGCGGGAACGAGCGGGGAGTCGACTAGGCCTGAGACGCAGCGAGGCGGGCCTCTGGCGGGGTTGAGTTGGGCGCGAGGGAGGTGAGGTGGGCAGGGCGTGGTGGCGAGGGGCTGGGCTGGGGGGGGGGGGACGGACGCGCACGCGGGCGTTATGGCGCCGTGGGCGCGGGCGATGGCGCATTGTCCGAGGGGTATAAGAGCCGCGGCGCGGCGGCCGCGCCTTCGTCAGCAGACGCTCGTTCCCGCGCTCGGCGCCATCTTCGTCCCACTTCAGGGTAAGTGCGCCCGCCTCGCGCGCCTCCGACTGCAGCAATTTTAGGGCAATCTTTTTTTTTTCTTTGTAAATATCGATATTTTTTTTCGATACATCGGTGCAATGTTATAAAAACATTGTTATTTGTGTGCATCATTGCAATATTTCGAAAACAGCTTTTAGTTTTTAATAAAGACGTTTTAAATAATATTAGTTCCTATAGTTAGATACCAGAGCATTCATTAATGACATAGAACAATGAACCTCTTTTCAATAACACGGATTTTTAATCGGGAGACTGCGGTGCCAGTTCCTTATCTGGCTGTATAGCATTTGTTCATGATATAAACCTTAATTTTATCGTTCATTAATTTTTTTCTGTTCAACTATTGTCGCTTCTTCGTCTAAAAACATTTTATGCAAACCACTGCTTATTAATTTCCCCACTCAATATATTATATGACACATGGGTATTTTCACAAACAATGGTATCCCATCTCTTGGGTTACAGGAAGTGAGGCACGTCCGCTTAAAGGGTGTGTTAGGGAAAGAAAACGTGCTGTCTTCTGGTGGATCCTCAATCGGTTTCATCAGACTTGTGCCTAGATATTCTTCTCCATTATCTTCCACACAGTACAAGTTTAAAATGTGAACTTTCCTTTTCATAATTTTATTTTAATTTAAAGAGCTCTTTATAATATTTATCACACGAACATTTAACAGCTTCAATGACAGAAACTGTGAGAGACTAGAAAACAAACGATGCGTAAAGGGTCTTGGACTCAGGGCGCCGAGTTGCCCACTGAAACTATGTGACGAGCTTCGTTTATATTTTCCCATCCACTATTTAATTTAAAGAATATGGCAAGCGTCATAGTTTTCAATAATTATTTTTGTGTGACTATCACAAAAGTATAAGAATTATGCAATTATGAAAATTTTGATGTGTAATTAAACAAATGATGAATTAAAATTGGGGAGCTTTAAAAAATTGTATTTTTTTGTGCTAGACCATTTCGGGCAATTTGTAGTGACCTAGAGGATTTCTGTGATAACTTTCAATTCCATATTTATTAGCAAACGTGACGATATACAGTAAACAGATCGCCTAAATTGTTCTCCCAGAGTTACCATTGTAATCGAGCCTTCTTTCATGGCGTCCTTTAGCACCAATAGGATCGGTTGCTCAGGCTGATATGCCGGATCAACCGAACAGGCATACATTCTGATCTAGACTGCTTCCACTGCTGGGCAATCGGGGCAGATAAACGTCCGGACGGTCGAGAGCAACCGCGTAGCCTACGAAGTGTACGAATTGACGAGGGTTGTCGGAATCCACCCCCACTCCCGCTGGAGGATTTCATATCTCCTTCTGGCAAATATAGTCACTTTTCCCTGCCCTAGACAACACTTCAGGTGCCCTATTTGCGATTTCCACCATTTGAAATGTTTAAAGGAAGCATATTGGCATTGAAAACTCCCAAGCGCACCATCAGCATTCATTTAAACACACCCTCCCCACGGAGAGAGCGACTGGCAGTTCTTCGCCTGAGGCGGTGGTGTGTCGCAGACGCTGTTGCCGCTGCTGGCGGTGGTGGCGGCGGGGGCCGCGCAGTGCTCGGCGCCTCGCCAGGCCGGCCCTTCGCCCTCCGCCCAGGACCAGGGCCAGGGGCAAGGCCAGGGGCAGGGCCTGGGCTCCGCGGCCGCCCGCTTCCTGACGGACGAGAACCCGCTGGGCGCGCCGCTGCCCAGCCTCACAGCGTCCGGCGCGCCCGGCGCCGCCTTCGCGCCCTTCGGCCCCTACGCGCCGACCGTCGCCCTCGGCTCCGCCGCGCCCTCCTACACGCCCTACCCCGCCTACCAGGTGAGACACGCCTGCGCCCAGCTGCCGCCCCGCTCCAGCCATTGGGCTGCCTCCTCTCCTTCCACACCTTATCCATCAGCGCATCTTCCTAACCACATACCCATTAAAAATAATATTAAGAAGAATACCTCAAGTATTCACCAATTTCTACATGCATCTTACGGGTTCACTTCCACAGGAACACAGTTCTTAAGCACAGTCCCTCCTTAGAACAATGTTACGTAAGTGGTGATGTGTAGAAGCTATAACCGCCCATATATTGGCCGACACATTATAATGCTAACAAACAGTTTTTTGTATTATTTCGTTTACATTTCATCGCCGTTTGGGCCTTCGCCGACATCCTTCTACTGGCAGTACTTCATATCCAGGGAGATAGGCCTTAAAGGAACGGATCTTTACTTCACAACCAGGCTTCTAGGATGTGAGAAGAAGGGTCGTGCGTGGTCCATGACACTTATTTAACGAAGTGATTCCGCATCTCCCTAGAGTTGACATAAATCATATGGTTTTATTATTCCATTATACTCTCGTATTATAATCACTGATAACACAACATAGATTAATTATTCGAAATGAGATGTGAATGTTACATTAGACTTATCCTAACATTCAATTTCTTGTTTTTCCTGAAATTGTCAAATTAGACATTTCGCTATCTTGTAGGTGCAATGGTTCTCGTACAATTTTATCGTAATTAAATACGTTTTGCAGCGTAGTAAGAAAATTGGTCTAAACCAAACCAAGCAGACTGGATTAAAAGTGCTTGAAATGCGAAACAATGTATTTATTCACACGTCTGTTTATCTCGATACCGACACTGCAATTTGGGTACCGCTGTCACGCCATGTGGGTGCGCAGGGCTACACGCACGCGCTGGCGGCGCCGGCGCAGCCGGTCTACGCACTGCGCACGCAGTTCCACGCGCAGGACGAGCTGGGCCAGGGCATCTACGGCCACGTCGAGCCCTTCCAGGCGCACGCCGCCCTGCAGGTACGTGCACAGCTTAGCGTGCGCGACTTCTAAGGAGCTGGGTTTGACCTCACGAGTGACATCATCCCTTACACGGTAACCCAGTATCTCAGGAAGTGATCTCGTCAAAAGGATTTTACGTCACAAATCTACGGTGGGTACGAAAAGAGAGTTAACTCGAAAAACGAAAAGCGTGGGATAGAACCAAGATATGCACAATTAGCTGTAGCAAGCCTCCCGCAATTCGCTAAAGTTAGTATTTCGGTTTTACTAAAAGTGTTGCGAATATTGTTTCGTTACATGTCTTGCTCGTATTTATGAATAGCTTGGGGCAGTAACATATGAAACACGCCAACCAAAATATGGATATTAACATTTACGAATTGCGGATGGAATGCAGTGCCTATTCGTGAGGCTTATCTTGTTACCGCCCTTGCTTATATAGTATGCCCCTGGAACAATATGTTACGTGGGAGTATTATTTACAGAAACTCAGACATTGATAAACTAAACAATTATAACATTCTTACAATTATTACAAATCTAGCAATACACACTAAAATACACATTCTCCTCAAGTAAAGTAGACGTCAATTGACTTAACACTTTTTCCCGCCAACAATTAAAACAGCAATGAAGGAAAATATCGAGTAGTGCGCCTACACAAATATCAATAATTCCATTTTCTACTTTAGTGCTACATCGAACAACGCCAGTTTAGCTCGAGCCTGATATTGAGATAAGTACGAGCTGTTGCTGTACAACAGACGCACTTAATAGGGCAATTTCAATGAAATTCGGAGTGTGCTACGGTCCTAAAGGGCTTAAACTGTTTAAAGATATTTAGAGTAATACTTTTTTTCAGCACTCGTGCATGAAATGAGTACTTCACTTCACTGTTTATTAATAGGGAAGCGTTACTTTGCGGCATGCATAGGAAATAGAACTTTTCCGAGCGCGATCCTTGCGCAAAGAAGTTATTGGCATATACCGAGTACGGGACAGTAAACAAAATAGGAGCGACACGAATAAACATATTGAGATATTGCATACTGAGAATGATCTCAAAAGTGTGCACATGTAAGTTTTAAAGCATTCGTACTAAAACATAACACACGCAACTCGTACGAAAGAGTCTTTGGCGTGAACTCATTTCAAGCTGTCATACTATCGTCCTAACGACGGCTCGCCTCGTATGCCAAAGACTGACTTTCCGTGCTAGTTACGTAAATAACCATTTTCTTCTTCTTCTTCTTCTTCTTCTTCTTCTTCTTCTTCTTCTTCTTCTTCT